ACATGAAATATATTATATAATAATAAGAAATTTGTAGTCTACGATTTCGCGCCATAAATGAAACTCGTTTTAAAGCACGTGAAGCAGCTAAGCTTAGTTAATCTATATTTAGTTAACTAACTGCAGCTTCCTAACTATTCACAATTTAGTAGTAAAAGTTGTTAATTATCTCATTATTAACAAATTTAGCTTTGAATTTCACTTAACCCAGGTCTTGGCACGCTCCAAATGTGTGTCTGCAGCGAAGTTATTTAACTATTTTTAGATACATATATAAACTAGTTTAGACTTAGTTCCAAAAACGTGTTCACGCTCCGAATTCAATAAGAAAACATTTGCAGAGTTTTTCTACTTAAAAATGAGACTAATAAACTAATTTCTGGCTAAGACTAGAGCTAAAGAGTTATGCAGTAGAGTTAGTATATTAACTGAAATTTAATTTGTATTTAATAATTATTTTTGTTAGCTAGTAATATAATCTCTCATGAACACTCTTATTACATTAGGCTAGACGCTAACTTAACTCGCCTTGGCTCGCGTTTCATACAATTCCCAACTAGTTTGAGCTCATCAGGCATTCCAAGAATCAATAGTTTATAGCAAGCTCAGCTAATGACAGAACTGGAATCTTTGGAATGTAAAGATCGAGTCTGACGATTGATTAGTCATTGTGAAATATACATACGACCTCAAGTCTGTTTACTTCACACTCACTGAGGGGTTTACTATAGTGTAAATTTATTATTTAACTAAACTTATTTAATTCCTTTTTTAAGTCCTTCAATTTATAGAATTATTTTATCAACCTGCGAGAGTGAGCTGTCTGCCATAAACTCTAATTTGAATATAATATATATTTTATCAAAAAATCTAAAAAACTTTATATTATTTTTATTTAAAAAATCTACAAAAAATTTATTTTATTTTTATTTTTTTTATTATTTTTTTGTATTTTATTCTTCATTTTATTTTTATATTTTTTATATTTTTTTTTGATTTATTTCCATTATTTAAGCTTAACTTTTAATATAATTTTTCTTTATTTTTTATTTTTCTATCCTATTTAAATATACTATCACTCAAGTGATCTGCCTGCCATAAATCTAAAGCAACGTCTAATTTCTATTCATGTAAAAAGTCTTTTTATAGCATTCTAATATAGCCAACACATCAAGTAATCTAATCTATTAATCTGATCTAACTAAATTATTTATTTTATCAACATGAAACAGTTCAGTTCAGAGAGATTGACAGCTTTGCTTGAAACGATTATGCGCCACGTTCGATCTGATTAACACTAAAGCATAATATGCCATAAAAAGCGCGCCATAATTGTTTTATGGCACGCCATTTAACACGTTGTTGTTGCTGTTAGCAAATAGACAATTCACCGATAACTTTCAGCTACCTTTTTTCACTTGTTTGTTAAATTAATTGTTAACAAAAAACAGAGCCAACAACAACTGGCAGAGACAGCGCCAACACTTTTTTGCTGACGCGTTGCCATGAAACACAAAAAATATATCTCGATATGCATATTATGGCCGATATTTGTATATATAATTTGCGCTGACTAAGCGCGCATTTAGCTGTAATTTAGCGTAGTTCGCGCGAATTCATGAAACCGAGCCAAATGCTAATCAGATAAACAAATATATATGTATATATCCACACACATATATATGTATATAGGTATCTAAGGAGAAAAAACCCAATTGAATATAGACTTGAAGATTTAGCTGTAAGTCTGACTGAATTGCAAATCACTTTCAAAATTTTGCCACTTGAGTTGAGCGGGAGGTTAGACGCAAGCCAGTTATGGCTGGCAGCAAGTTGGCATTTGACAAACTGTTATTGAAAGTCCGGCTCGAAATGTAAACATTTTCCATACACATAGCAGACAGACGGACAGACAGACATTCCCATACACATATGTATGCAAATGCAATTGACAATTGTCTATTGTCTGTTGTCTGCTGTTAGTCGCATGTGCGGGCGTGTCTTTAGCCTAACAACAGCTCCCAGAGACAATGGACAAAAAAAGAAACGAAAATCGAATATTATTATAAACATTTATGGTAATTGAACAATTTCCGGAATGCGCGTTCGAAAAAAGCCAATTGAGAGTCAGCAATATGAAATCGTCAGAGCTGGGCTTAAGCTAGCATTTGAGCTAAGCTAAATTAGTTAGACAAAAGTCTTGAAATTAGATATTAATATTTATTTAACTAAACAAGTTTTGAGATCAATAAAAATTGTTAGGTTAGGAATTTACAATCCTAAAATCTACATAGAACTTTGTGTTTATAACAACTTCAAAGCCAACTCCATCTTCCCAGCTCAAAGCCATACAAAATGGAAATTCAGTTCAGAATGGTTTAATGAAAGAGGCTGAAGAAGGCGTGGCAAAACCCAGAAAGTAGACAAATATATATATTAATTCACGATTCTGGATATAAGATGTTAAATTAAGTCCATCTAGCCATGTTCTGCAGATCGCTTGTCCGTCCATCAGAGCGAAAAAATCTCGCAAGTCACAAAAGCTAGAGACTTAAAGTCTTTAATATATATTCCTGTATACGAAACCTGAGCTTATCACTTAACTGCTTTCATAATTATGAATCAAAATCAACTCCATTTTTGAGCATAGCTGGAATACTACCAAGGCTACAGGTATTTCCTAGTCGAGCACTCCCAACTGAGTTGCTTTATTCCATTTTTTCAATATCTTTCAAGATCTTTAGCTGCATTATGAAGACCTACATATCAATTCCATTTCTAAATGATCTTCTGCTTAAGATAAGCTAGCCAGCCATAAAGTCCAAATCAATAACTCTATAAAGCGTAAAAGATCTATCGCCCATACAATTTCTCAATAAAAGACGCCACTACGTGCTTGCCATGGGCAATTTCTATATCAAATGAGGCGTATATCCTTGGGCTAGATAGCACGTTTCGCTAAGCCTCGCTTAAACAGTTTGCCTACCTGGGTCAGGTGAAAGGAGCTGCTAAAGGGCGCTAAACCGTAGCAAACCGCACTTGACAGTAGCTCGCACATTGCACAGGTAAGACTCACGTAGCCGAGTCGACTCCGAGGGTAGCTCGGCTGCTGCGCCTATTGTTCGTGTGCATTTCCTGATTTTTAATTAGCCAAATAATGCAAACAGCTAAAGGAGATCTTTTCAACTAAACGCTGCACAACGTGAGCGGCATGAGGATTACGAACTCAAATGCATTTTCTTCAAGTGAAAAACCCCAGACAGGAAATTAATTCAATGTCAATTAACAATTGATGTTCGGTAGACGAACTTCGCAGAGAAAACCAAGCAACAGCAACAGGCATTGCAACAACAACTAGTTGCAGCTATTAAGTTGTCGAGTGTTTAGTCAAAATATCATAAACAAGGCAACTAACGTGCCTTTGCAAGGTAATCAACAGACGAGTTACACTACTATTTTTATGAACAGAGCTGCTTGGTATAGGGAGACATGTAGTATATATAGTAAATATAGTATAGGTAGTATATATAATGTATGTATTATAATTAGTATATGTAGTATATGTACTCTATATACGATACATGCGATATATTGTATACTTAATATGCTGCTCTGTTCATAAAAATAGTAGTGTGCCTTGTCTTTTGATTACTACATATACTATATATACTCTATGTACTACATATACAGCTTATACTATATACACCCATATATCATTATTAACAACATCATCATCATTACTCTGAACAATTGTGTCTGGCAAATCAGTTGCCTAAGAGCTTAGCCAAAATGTTATTCCGCCTAGACGCACTTCATTTGATTTAATTAAGACAAATTTGTCAACAAATATTCAGCTGCTGTCTGTATACCTCGCTGTGGCCTCTACAAAGCGGGTAGCTCAGCTCAGCCACAGCAACACTAGGGCATTTGCCAGTCTGTGCGCTGCTCGCTTCGAGTCGCTGCCTTTAAGAAGTTTGGTCAGAAATAAGATTTGTCGTTAATTAGGCATTTGCTTAAGTGGCTCAGCTCTGGCTTTTCTTCTTCTTCTGCTTTTATGGATGAATAATGAACAGCGCTATGGGAAAATTAGTTTGAAAAGCAAAAGTTTGGCAAATGATTTGATGAACTCGATAAGAACAACTTTGACATTTGTTTCAGCTAATGAGCCCAAGCGAAGCGTGTGAAATATTCGATATGCAAAACAACAGATATAAATATATAGTTAATATATATAAATGAATGGAAATCCGTTACGAGTTACGCAGCTCAAATTTGTCTCGATTCGATTTTATGTAAACTTCGTTTAAACATTATCAAAATGATTGGGCCAATCAAGTTTTTATGTCTTTCATAAACATTCGAGTCGCCACTAATTAGCGGGCAGATTCATTTTGGGCAAAGCCAAAGTAAAATTTACATATGACAATAGTTAAGCATTTTCTTCGCTGGGAAGGTCTCAGCAGCGAGCGTGTGTGTGGCCCTCAAGGGCCACTAATACATATCACTGGAGTATTATGATGAAGATGTCAAACACGATGACAAACGTGCAACAAGCACTTATAACAGCGCGCAAAAATGTTGCATTATAATGCTGTCTTGGGGTAGTCTAGGATGATGCAGGGAAACGGAAATGAGTTGCTCGCAGAGTACCGTTTGCTGGGTTCACTCAACTCTGGGCTAAACAGCGGCGAAAGAGCAATTCGAATCAATTAGAAATTGTATCGCAGACTTCATTAGTGAAAATTCTTAACTTTCGCCAAACCAAACGAAAAGAAAAACCAGATCAAACGAGTCTGAGAGATAAAAATGAAGACAGAGGCAGATGCAAGACTTTCTAGCGGAAACCCGAAGCTAAACTGAATTATCGCAATAAATCAATTGAATAAAAAAATATAAAAACTGGGTTACTTCAAGCTGAAGAAGAAGCAGCAGCAGCGGCTAGAGTCGAGATCAGTTAGGAACATTTTAGGTCTGGAAAGCTTTAAATGCCAAAAACTTACCTTTCAAAAGTTCAATCAAGTTCAGATTTTTTTTGGATAATCCAAAGTGTGTGTGTGTGTATGAGTGTGTGTGTGTGTGTGTGTAATCCCAAAAAACTTTGATGGATTTTAAATACACTTAAAAAATGCACAAGGCCGTTTGTAGTTGTTGTTGTTGTTGTTTTTTTTTTTTTTGTTTTAAGGTTTTTCTTTTTCTTTCCCCTCTTTTATAGTTATGTTTCTTCTTTTGTTATGCACTTCACATTTTTATGCGTAGCCAAAGGCGCGTACGTGCCGCATTATGCTATATGATATCGATTCCGATTGGGGCAGGAAACAGGTGCAACAGCCCTGTGACGGCTTTTCGCAATCTCGTGTTTGTCAACTTCAACTTCGCCCAAAACGCACTTCCAGTTTTGTTTGTTGTTTGCACTAAAGAAGCTGTTAAGCTTTTTATCAGTTGTTTAAGGCAACGAGCTCAAATTAAGATCAGATCAACATGAACACAGAACCGACCGTTCAAATAAACCGCACTCAACAACGTTGCGAGTACAACTGAGCTGAGTAGCGCTGCCAGCGTCGAGGGCTAGTCGTAAGCAAGTGAACGAACTGCTTGCTAGCGCTCACATACACGCTCTCTATCTCTCTCTCCTTCACAGCGGCAGAGATCGAGCTGAGTGTGAGAGCGCAACAATAATAACAACCGGCAAAACGTTGGCAACATTTGTTGCTCAGCTATAAGAGAAATTAATAAAGAGCTCTGCATACGTAAATTATTAAATAAATTTATAGAATTATAATTATAATAAATTTAGTGATATTTAAAAGCTTAAAACAACTATATATGTGTATATATATATACATGCAATCAAATAATAGTAAAAATGCTTAGCAACATTCTCACAGCCAGGCAGCGTTGTGCCGCTAGAATAGCAACATAGCATATACTCTCGCTCTCTTTACCATTTACTTTTTCACTCACTCATTTTGCTAGCCAGCGAGCACAGCGTGGGTGCAAAGGAGATGTTGCTGCTTACTCTCTCAACAGCGTAGGTGTGCGTGCGCTTGTATACGAGTATATGTGTGTGGGTCGTTTTTGAAGTTTTGCTTCTGAGCTGTGGGCGACGCTGTCTGGGCGAACTAGTTCCACTTGCTGCGCTGTTCATTTCGAGTAGGCAGCGGAAAAAAACGAGTTTCCAATTAGAATTGAAGTTGCGTCCAGCATGTGGGTTTTGTTTTTTCGTCTGGGATGGGTAATTGCAGGGCGAGAATGAGAAAGAGAAAGAGAGAGAGCACGACTGCATCGGAGCGCCGGATGGGCTTGCATAAACACATCTGCGTGTGTGCGTGAGTGTGAAGTGCAAATGATTGCTGCAACATGCACTAGCAACATGTTGCTAGCAATCACATAAGATAAACATAAAAGTTCTTAGAACTTTAGTTATTATGCGCACGTTTCTAGCCGTTTATGGGCTAAAGACGCTTATGGACTTGCTATGAAATATTATAGCCATGAAGCAAGAAAAGCTAAGAAAAACGCTTTAACTATGGTGCTACACACGAACACCGAAACGAAAGTCAAATGCCAAATGTAATTTGCAGTCAACGTCGTCATTAAATTTAGCTATAATTTATTTGTTCAAACAAAAAAGGCAAAAAAATGCGACAAATTAATTACATTAAAAACAGGAAAAAAGTTTATAATGAAAGCGAAAATTAAAAAGAAACAAAATTTTGTCTATCAAATTATACATTTTTTTGGGAATTAACAATTGAAGCGAAACGTGAAAGAAGACATAAATAGAAAATAAAAGAATATTCGACTAGTTGATGTCCTCTCAAAATGTTGCCAATGTATTTTGTTACATATATAAGTAAAGGCTGCGATATTCAGTAAGCAATAAAACATTTGATTACAATCATCAAGTTATGCAGCAAATTTTGTAACAATAGATCTTAAGGTCTCTGAGATTTATAAGCTTAAAGTTGGAGTTACTTTAACGGCTAATACATATGTATATATACATCTCTTATATACAAATGCATATATACATGTTTATATACATAAGCTTACAGAAAACGGAATTGACATTTGATAATACTCTGTTATGACAATATTATGTGATTTTGATGAATTGATGCGATGACAGGAAAACTTTTTTCTTTGCGAATTATGCGGAAACCAATTTGGAATTTGTTTTGATTTTTTGCTGTTGTCTTGTTTGGCTTTGCAGCTAATTATGAATCGAATTTATGGCGAAGTAATTAAGTGCTTAAAAACTTTGTGTTTCTGCCAATTAGAAAAGGTCAACAGATTAAAGAAATATTAACAATCTGAATTTGACAATCTATATACTATATGTATAAGATAGACAAAGCGAAGCGTAGCATAAGCCAACCAGAAGTAAACTTTCTGCTGCATCTGCTGCTGGCGAGATAAGTTAATGGTAAACAGTTAAATATTTGTTTAGAACTGGATCGTATCATAGCACGCTTTTCACATGAGCGTGTGAAAAGCACACAAAAAGAACAAATGGAAAGCAAAAAGCAAAGTCTAGCTGGCATGTTTGGAGCACAGTTATAGTTATATATATATCTGGAGTATATAATTATATCTACATACATGCGTGTGTGTGTGTGTGTGTGGAGTTAGGCGTTGAGTTATGCCAGGAATGAGTAGCGCAGCATGCTCCAGTTACAGCTGCAACCGCGGCTTCAAATTGTGTAATAACAGACGTAGCCCTAGCTCAGCAGCATCTCACTCTATCTCTCTCTCTCTCTCTCTCTCTCTCCATCTTCTTCTTCAACCGATGCCGGCTGCAAGTAAATGGGCAACGGTCAGCAGCTGCCGCCACAAACGTGCTCCAAATGTAAACAAAGCAAATCGTTGGGGCCTTCGTCGCATCTGCCGCATTGCAATTGCAGCCGCAGTTGCAGTTGCAGTTGCAGTTGCACTTGCTGCCAACTTGCATCTGCGGCGTCTGGCAAGTGGCAAAGCCACTTCCTCAATCCAAGCCCCTCGCTCTGCAGTGGCCGTAAATCAAAAAAGGTAAAGTAGAAGAGGTAGAAGTAAAAACAGCGGCTTGCATCTTGCAAATGATGCTATCAATCAAGTTTTATGCGCGGCGTATCTTTCAGATACAATTGTATCTGCTGCATAGCATAATTGAGTTCTTTGGCTCCGCTCTCAAGTGGTTGCTTGTTAGGCGCACTTGTCGGCCATAGATGCCATAAGGCCTGAATAGACAAATGATACGAATCGAGTTTGCTCAGAATTTATGTTCATTGTTTGCTGTGCATTAGCAGCAAACACCTTCAATTACAATCTACAGATTACATAACTTGTTAGGCAGAGTTCTTGAAGACCCTTCAATGGGTAGAAGAACTTGAGACTTTTATATTTGAACTTATGTTTCTACTACAAGTATTTAGAATTTGATGATTTCTTATTATAATAAAAATATATATACAAATTTGAGGAGATATTTTTAACTGAAATATATTTTTAAAATATGTAATTAAATAAATTTATTTATTTATCTATTTATTTGTCTAACTAAAGTTCTACTTTTGTAAATAAAGTATAATTCATATGCAGTTTGTTCTAATCATTATAGAACACAGTTCAAGGGCAGTTGAATCAAGATTATGAGCATGGCTATGAACTAGATAGGCCCAGACCTCGTATTTCTATAAAATACAATTCATAAGCAGCTCGATGTTTCTTATGTGAGTCAAAAGATTGTTTCAAGCATAAATTAAATATATATGAAATGCAATTCATTTATTTACTTAATGTTGCTTATTCATTCATGAAAGAGCCAAAAGATTATATGCAATAATTATTGATCTGTCCGTCTGTCTATCTATTCCACTGCTCTTGAAGCTAAGGACTTGGAATTTGGTAAGAAGACTCGTGGGTTGCAAGGGCAATGTGCAACGAAAATTAATATATATTTTTACAATTTAATCCAATCCATATATCATATATATATACGAATATATATATTATATATACTTTTTAAGATCTAACAGCAAGTTTTGCAGTTAAATCGCAGCTGCACTCCTCTACAGTTAGAGCTAAAAGTATCGTTTGGTAAACTAGGTTTATTTATTATATTTATATATATTGCGCCAACTTGTCTATAAGCTAAGTAGGTTCCATTTCAGTAAGCAAATTGGCAACAGACATCCTTCGTTGATTTATGTAGAGCTATCAATATTTATGGCAAGTCTTATCACACCTATAAAGGCGCTGGCTTTGTTTCCCATCTTGGTGGCATCTTCAGCTGAAATTTAGTATAAGACGAAAGCTGTTGACGCTGGCAGCTGATGCCTTGCGATGAATTGCACGCCCAGAACAAACGGACGGACGTTGGCGCAGCGTATCATAAACATGAACTTCCGATTGCGACCTCTCAGGTGGCAAGTGCCACGAGCTGTGCCGCAAAAGTCATTAAGCCACACACAAAAAAAAAACTCAAAACTTGAGCAGCTGAACGGCAACAGCTTGAGCTGCAGCTAACCAAACAGGTGCCCAGCTCTGGCTCTCGTCTTGTTCATATCCGCTGTCAACGTCTGCTCTTGGCCAGCCTTTAAGGCGGGTCAAGCGGAAGGGCTTGGAGGGCTGGATTAGCAGCAGCAGCGACTGCGGCGACCTTCGCATCATCTGCGTTTACCAGGTATCATTTTTATTTCATTTCAAAGCACGACATAAAGCCCCGACACAATAGAATTAGTCGAAATAACGCGAATTATAATTTGCATGCGATTTTTAGTATTCATAAAGTTTTCTTAGATTTCGCTACGCATATAACAAAAGAAGCCCAAAGTTCCCAAGGAATTCAGCCGAGATGACCTTCAGAGCAGCGCTTCAAGCGCATGCTTTGTTGTTCAGATTGGACACATATAAATTACCTTCAAGCTCTATATGATAGTGGATGGATGGAGAGAGCGAGAGAGATAGAACATCGATATTTTAATCAAATTTATACCAGCTGAGCTTAAGGTGAGATAAAAGCTAAAAGAAAAGAAGTTTAGAGAGCGAGGGAGAGATGCAGCGAAATAGAGCCAAAAAGAGGAAGATAG